GTAAGAGACAATACCTATGAATAAACAAAAAAATACTTATATTTGATTATCATAACTTATAAAGTAATTATTCCAAACAAAACTTCTAAAGTGATAATTAGTGTTAAAATTGAATTTTCTAGACTATCGCAAAATTAATCATATTGGTTATGATACTAAAAAAGTGAGTTTAATACCTGACAGTCTTCCCATAGATACGAAGAATTGATTGTAGCATTAACAATGTCTGAACGGCTTCCTCCATGAATAACGGGTAAAGTTTGTCTAAAGTCTCCTCCAAAGACAATCACTCTTCCCCCGAATGGTGAAATAGAATCACCATCATTATTAATGATGTCACGTAGGCTTATGTCTAATGTTTCAAAACAAAATTTATGAGCCTAATACGTTTGTAATTTCCATGTGTATGTTTGTGTTTTTAATTAGATTTGATTGATTTTCACTTTGGAAAGTACACACTTTTGGTGTAATAGTTTAGTTTGTGAAATACTTGTAAATTGTTTAGATTAGGTTTATTCTGACCTCAAACAGGTCCATGATCACTCAAGGGACCATGGGTGAACTACAAAAGTGGAAGGAAGGTGCAAAAATACAAGACAAAGAAGAAAGATCTCGTTTTTGGGTTGTACCCGGTCGGGTATACCCTATAACCGATCGGGTACCTACTTGTCTTGCAAATCAAATCGGATCCAAAGACAAAGGAACGTGCAGGGAAGATTTTGACCACGATCAAGTGTCTATACCCGATCGGGTACACCGACACACCCGATCGGGTATCCCTTCAATTGTAACCTTGAGTTCGATCGAGTATGCCTCGAATCTGAAGTTTTACACATACCCGGTCGGGTACCGTGTATATACCCGATCGGGTACCCGAGCTGCATTCCCAAAACCCTATAAATACACCTTCTTCCCTTCATAATTGGATACCAATCCCTATATACTTCTAAGCTCAGTTTAGTCAAGTTCTTTCTTTATATTTTCATCATGTTTAGTCTCCAAATGAGGAGCTAAACTCTTCCATCTTGGTTTTGCTACTTTGAAGCTTAATGAATTTGTAAGTTGCGAGTTATTCTCTTTAATTTTCTTCCTTGAATATTAATTCTTCCTTTAAATACTATTTCTATATCAATGTTGGGGAGTGTTACTAAGATGACAATTAGTTAACATCTTGACATTAGTTATAGTAATAGTTATTTCTTCCTCTATGTTAATATTGGGGAGTGTTACTAAGATGACAATTAGTTAACATCTTGATATTAACTATAGTAGGATTCATCTTCTTAAATATTCTTCCTTGAGTATTAATTAATTCCTATTCATATTTCATATTAATATTTTGAACATTACTTAAAGGATCAACTAGTTTTGTTTCATATATTAATTATTACTAGAATCGATCGACGAATACATTTGTTAACCGTTCGATCGTTTCACGGTAGTAAACTTGGGTTATTAATGCATGCGTTTCATGGTTAATAAACCAAGGGGAATTATATATGTTGATTAAACCAATAAACCGCTTGTGTTGAGGTTATCAATCTCAATCATTTTCATCTTGATTTTATTGCTACTATCGGGTTAATATACGGCGCGTGTTCTATATTAACTCGGTGGTAAATTTTATTAATGAACGTGTCTCGTTATTAATAACTACCCTCGATGAACTGGATATACTCCTCGATTGAGTATTCGAGAGGAAGATATAACCGGGATCGACAAATATTTCATTAAGTGTATAAAAGCAAAACCAAATCTTCATCTCTATTAAAGTAAACCACATAAGTCGTTCATCTTAGTTGATGGATAAGTGTACCCGGGGGGTATCTGTCCGGGGGGTTACTGCGGGGAATAACTAGAGAGAAGTCAGAGCAAAAGTAAGAGAGAGAAAATGTATTGATGAGAATGTATTGAGCGTATTGAGCCTGGATTACAAATGGAGAAAGGGGTGCTATTTATAGTAGTAATAAATGTTAGATAGGGACATGTGTCATCATTATGGTGGTCGAGGGGTCACCTCAATGGGATGGCACTCGCATGTGTCCGCATTAAATGCGGTGGTTGGATGTGACATTTGTACTCGGTACGTTGATCCAGCGCATGTGGGCGAGATATCCTGTCGAGGAGATACCTTCGGCTATATGTGATTAGCCGAGGGCTCTTCAAACCCGGGGCCTCTGTGTGCCGAGGGCTCTAGGTACCGAGGGCTACTGTTTTCGCCGTTTTCTCCCAGTACCTTCGTTTGCCTAAAACAGCTGTTCTGCGAGTTTATAAGCCTTCGGTCATGGGGGGCAAAGGCACCCCAGCGTTCGTCGTGGGCTGTTTGGCACTTGGGGCGCTGTGATTTGGGCCTGCTGTGCTTCCTGGGCCTGTTGGGCCTTCGCTGTAGTAGTGGGAGTCTATGGGCCGGGGGTTCCTGGGCCATATACTCCATCAGAGTCCCTCACTCCTTTTTCCGAAAGGTACTTGAGGGAAAAGGAGTAAAATGTGTTTGTTCTCTGATGTTGCCTTGCTGTAGTTTGTAAACATGTGTGAGATTTTGCGTTTGCACACGATTCTGCTGGGAGCATCCCTTCAGTCACCCATATTTTGGGACTGAAGGGTGTTGATGCTTTGTGAGAATAATTTTTTTAGCATTTTTTTATTTTCCTGGTTCCCGGAGGGGTTCTCCAGTCCCCCACTCCTTGAGGCACATGTAATGTGGTGAAGAGGAGTAAAGTAGTGCCCGTTGTTATCATGTTGCCGAAGGCCGACGCTTTTCGTTTCATTTTGGAGGGGATGCCTCGTTAAAAACCTCATTAGAAAAAACCCTGTGGGAAAAAATTCTAATGAGGGAAAAGAGTGCACCGAATTCCCCCAACGATGAATCGAAAAGGTGAACCCTTGGTCCGAAATGGATGACAGTATTGACGTTGAGGGCTATCTTTGTTTGAGGGCGTGTATGTTTATTTGCCGAAGGCGCTGTGTTAATATTCCGGAGGATGCCGAAGGGGAGTCCCTCAATCCATGGGATTGAGGGCGTGATGAATGTAAGTGGTAGTTGCTGTGTTGTCGGGGGGATTCTCTAGTTGTTGAGAAGCTGGGGATGAGGGCACCCGAGGGTCCCGTTGTTGTATGTCGAAGGCTGTCCACCTAAGAGTGGTTTTAAATTTGATGTCCCCGAGGGGTCTCCTCATTGTGTGGCCGGGGGGGACAGTTGATGAAGGTGTGCTCCCCCCGAATTTTCCTGGCCCTCAATGCGTTGAGGGCTGAGGGTTCCCGGGGGTTTACCCGTTGTTAAGTTGTGGGCTCCTGAAGGAAAAAGCCCGAAGGCACTTGTGATGTTGTATGAGGGGTACCTGCCGGGATCACCCCTGTGTTTTCGAAATATAGCCGTTTGCAATAGGACCGTTGGAATATGGAACGTTTAAAATGTAGCCGTTGGAGAGGACTTCCACGTGGCACGTGGTTGTTGGCTAGCTTCGGGCAGTATCACCGGTTGGCGGAAGGGGCAGCTTGTAATGATGACTTTCGTAACCGGAGGCCCGGTTTTGGGCCCAAGCCCGGATTTGAGTGCCAATAAATACCCCAAGGCTTGAGCCTTTCCCCTTATGCGATTCATTGTGAGCGAAGCTTTGCCGGATTTTTTCTAGAGAGAGAAACAACCCTTCGATCAAATCCTTACTTCCCAAGGTCATTTGCTCCTCCTATTCTCGAGTTCCTTAGCGTATTTTCGCCCTTAGGCTAAGTGCTAGAGTTGTTTAGGGAGCCTTCGATTTCTAGAACCCCTCATCCCCTAGTTCTCGAGCATGTCTTCGCAAAGTGATTCTCAAAACATATCGAGGGAGCCCTCGGCGGAGGAGGAGAGTATCTCAGATGTGGAGTCCACGAGTGAGCAGCCTTCGGTGGGTGGTGATTCTGCCGTTGCCATGGAGATACAGAAGGAGCTCGTTGCTGAGGTCGAGGCCGAGGATTTTGAACAAGTAAATGAAGACGAGGAGCTGGCCCTCGCCTTTCAAACCGCCGAGGAAGCGGAGGAGAAAGAAAGGCAGAAGGTTACTGCCAGCACCTCCCGGCCCTTGAAGCCGGCGCCTCTCAGGGTAGCCCCCGGGAAGAAGAAGACGAAGAAGGCGGGAGCTCCCAAGAAGAAAGGTGTTACCGACCAAGGCAAGCCGGTTGGGACTCCCGAGGGGTATTCGCTGTTGAATACTGTTGCCTTGGCGGTGAATTCCAGAGCTCACCCGGTCGAGTGCTATGTCACACAGCTGTACGTAGGGCCTTCGGTGATGGTGGTACAACCAGGGCCTGGCGACGTGCTGTCTCGGGCGCCTGAGGGGTGCTTTCCTGTGCATATCCTCTTCGTCTCGATGGGCCTTCGGTTCCCATTGCATCCCTTCCTTTTAGAGTACCTTAGGTACGTTGGCCTGGCCCCCTGCCAACTTACTCCGAATAGCCACTCCTATATTGCCGGGTTTCTGAACCTCTGTAAGTCCCGGGGGGGCACTCCCATCCTGGAGTTATTTTTTCAAAGATTCAATCTCTGCCGGGGGGGCATGCGAGTTCCGGGGGGTTCACGAACCTGCAACAACTTGCCCCGTGGAGGCTCTTCGATGACGTGCCCTCGTCTCACAAGGGCTGGAGAGATCGCTTCTGCTACATCAGGATGGCGGAGAACCCATTCCCGAGGGAGCTAAGGAATTACTTCCGGAGGCACATAAAGCCGAAGGGTTGCGCGGCTCTTGAGAAGGAGGGGAAAAAGATATCTGCTATCCCGGCGGGGCGGGATAAGCATGTGACGGTCAAGGAGATGACCCTGGAGGATGATCTGTATCTCCTCGGCTTTTGGTGCTACCGCTTCTTGGGGGGAAAGGACGAGAAGTACCCCGTTATTAACAAAGCCTTCGAGGGAACAGGAGGTAGCTACGGAAGGCCTTAATGTTTTGTACTTAGGAATTCTTTGCACTTTGATATGTGTTGACACCTTTGACCCTTCGGCCTAACCCGTCCTCATTCTTTTGCAGGTACTAGCATGGACCCAAACGCCCTCTTTGCCCTCTTTGCATCTGATCTACCGGAGGCTCGCCAGGCACTTCGGCATTCCCCTTGAACAATTTGATCCGGCGGTGTACGGTCTCCCCCTACAGCCGGATGTGAGATTTCCCCTTCCTCCGGGCGAGGAGAGATCGGTAATTGAGGATAGCATGATGATGGGGGGGTCTGAGGATGAAGAAGAGGCCGGAGGGGATGTCTCCTCGAAGCCTGCCGAGGGGGGTGCTGCTGGAGCTGATGATAATCCTGTTGTTGTATAATTCCGAACATATCTTTTGTAATGAATATGTACAATATTTCGGCTTCGGCCTTTATGTATAACAATCTGCCTTTTATTTTTGTGAATTGATGAATGGATTCCTTCGGGCCTTTTGTATATAATTTGTTTTTCCCTTTGAATGTATGCCTTCGTCTTTTCTTTGTGAAATGAATGCCTTCGAATTTGCCTTATGAATGAATGCCCTCGTACTTTGATGTTTGAGTTGTCAGTCGTTTAGGAATTAGAAAAATTTTCTAAGTGTTGTTTCACCACTGAACCTTCGGTTGTGTGACCCCTCTGGCTGCATGGAGATTTGACCGAGGGCCAAATATTTAGGACAAAAAAATTTTAAGTGTAGTTTCGCCACTAAGCCTTCGGTTGTGCGGCCCCTCTGGCTGCATGGAGATTTGACCGAAGGTCAAATATTTAGGACTTAGAAAAATTTTCTAAGTGTGGTTTCGCCACTGAGCCTTCGGTAGTGTGGCCCCTCTAGCTGCATGGAGATTTGACTGAGGGTCAAATATTTAGGACTTAGAAAATTTTTCTGAGTGTAGTTTCACCACTGAGCCTTCGGTTGTGTGACCCCTCTGGCTGCATGGAGATTCGACCGAGGGCCATCCATTTAGGGCTTAGAAAATTTTCCAAGTAATGTGCATTGTGTGGCCCTCGGTTATTAGGTCCCCTGACTTGCATGATGATTTGACCGAGGGCCTAATATTTGGGACTTAGAAAAAGTTCCCAAGTGTCACTTGTCACTTGGCCTTCAGTAAATGAGCCCTGTGAGTTCTAGCCTCCGGTGTAGATTGTAGTGCCGGGGGTTGCTGGAACTTGGACTTAGGAAATTCAAGATCATGTCCGTGGGTGCTCACCCTCGGCCATAGTGGGTTCCAAAGTGTGGTCTTAGGAAAATTTTGTAAGACATTTATGTTGTTAGTAAGGGCGGATGGAAAATGGATGCCCTCGATATCCCTTGAGTTGTTGTTGCCTTGGTAATGAAGGGAAGGCTTCAAGAAACTTGGTTTCTTGGTAAGGCTTGGCCTATCGGGAGGCAACAACATACACCATTAGCTCCCCCCTCGGGTTAACCTTCCAGGTTCCGAGGGGATCGAGGGTCGTTTCCTGGGCATGAGACATAGTCTGGAGCCTGCCTCCCCTTGCGGGATGGTACGGAAAGCGCCTTAGTTTTGAAAGTCGTTCCCTCAGCACGAGACGTAGTCTTTGGCCTGCCATACCCTTGGGGTAATGGCGCAAGAAGCATTTCGTTTTTGAAAGTCGAATCATGGGCATATTAGTTGCCATTCACACCCTTGGGGTAGTGGCGCGGAAAGCGTTTCATTTTTGAAAGTCGAATCCTGGGCATATTAGTTGTCTGTCATACCCTTGGGGTAATGGCGCGGAAAGCGTTTCAGGGAAGGGTTTTTCATTTGCACACTGGTTGCAAATGGCTGGGGGCACTACGTGCTGTCGACACCGATAGGTGGCACCTTCGGTATAAATGTGTCCTCGAGGGGTACGGCTTTGGAAACTACACGTAGTGCTTGTTTCAGCATAAGGCCCCCGGTACTTGGTACCGAGGGGTTTCCAAAGGGAATACACTTGGTGTTTCCTTCATTTGTCGTAGGCGATTGGAGTGTCTACCCTCGGCACTTGGTACCGAAGGGTCTTCTCAAGAAACATTTGGTGTTTTTCTTCCTCTGTTGAAAGTTGTTAGGAGTGCGTACCCCCGGCACCTGGTGCCGAGGGGTTTTGCTTGTAATAAGGCCTTAGGCCGGGAGCTTGTTATAAGGGCTCGGCCGCTCATAAGAGTCTTGTTTCTTGTTTTTGGTGTCTTCAATATGTCTTCACTCTTTGAATTGGAAGGATAATACATTCATTAGTTATGAGGGCTTGGCCCGCTCTAACATTACTGATAAAATTTAACTAGGTGATGTACATTCCAATGCCTAGGGACCCCTTTCCCATTGGGGCGTTTGAGTTTGTAAGTCCCAGGCTTGATGATAGCTGCCACGATGTAAGGGCCTTCAAACTTAGGAGCCATTTTGCCGCCCTCGGTTGGTTGGCTAGCTTCCCTCCTTTAAAGGAGATAGTCCCCCACTTGAAATTCTCGAGAGCGGACCTTGGCGTCGATGTAACCCTTCACTTGCCTCCAATAGTTTTCTGCCCGAATGAAGGCCTTCTCTCGGCGTTCTGAAATGAGGTGGAGGTCGAGGTCCATATTGGCGTCATTGACCTCGGGTTCGTACTAGGCCACCCTTCGGGTAGGAAGGGTCACCTCCGTGGGAGCTTTGGCTTCGAATCCATAGCAAAGGGAGAAAGGTGTTTCTCCCGTTGCCCGCCGAGGGGTTGTGCGGTAGGCCCATAGGATGTTGTGGAGTTCTTCTACCCTGCCTCCCCCTTCGGCCTCCAGCTTCTTTTTGAGGCCCTCAAGTAATGTTCGGTTGGCGTTCTCCACTTGACCGTTGCCATGAGGGTAAGCAACGGATGAGAAGGTGTGCTTGATGCCCCATGCCTCTAGGAGGGCACAGAAGGGGGCTGCCTCAAATTGAGTCCCGTTGTCGGAGATAATTTGCTGAGGGACACCGAACCTCGTGAGGATGTTCTTGAGGACAAAGTGGCGACATCTGGCTTCAGTAATGTTGGCGAGGGGCTCAGCCTCCACCCACTTGGTGAAGTAGTCAATGGCAACGATGATGTACCTGTTGTTGGAGGTACCCCTCGGAAGAGGGCCCACAAGGTCTATGCCCCATCTAGCGAAGGGTATAGATGTGCTGATGGGGGCATAATTGACCGCTGGCCTGCCGGGGGCTTTCTGGAAGTGTTGACATGCGGTACACCTTCGAGCGAGATCCGCACAATCTCGGGCCATCGTAGGCCAGAAGTAGCCCTGGATTATGAGCCTTCGGGACATGGAGAAGGGTCCCTGATGAGCTGAACAAGTGTCACTGTGCACTTCCTCCATTGCAACTTCGGCTTCATCTTGATGAAGGCACCGGAGCAGCGTACCATTGTAAGATCGTTTGTAGAGCCTTCCGTCCTCGATGGTGTAGTTGGGGGCCCTCAACTTTGCCATCTTGGCGCGGGCCTCATCCTCGGGCAGCTGCCCTGTGGTGATGAAGGCAATGATGTCTGAGATCCAGTCCTCCTGTCTTTGTTGTATATTCATGATGGGGCTGGCGTGTATGCTGGAGAGGCTGAGCTCCTCGATTTTGGCGATTTTGGATATGTGCTCGGGGGATTCAGCCGAGAGCTTTGATAAAATGTCGGCCTCAGAATTTTGAGCCCTCGGTATTTGAGTGAGAGAGTGTTCCTCAAATACCTTACGCAATTCCTTGGCGGCTTCCTTGTATTGTTTCATCCTCCCTTCTTTGGCCTCATACTCTCCTGAAATTTCGCCGACGACTAACTTGGAATCGCATTTGAAGTGGATCTGTCGAGCCTTCATGTTAGCTGCCAGCCGAAGGCCACAGAGGAGGGCCTCATATTCGGCTTTGTTGTTGGAGACTTTGAAAGAGAAGCGGATGGCATAATAGGCCCGGAAGCCTTCGGGAGAAATGAGAACTACCCCTCCCCCACAAGCTTTGATAGCGGAGGAGCCGTCGGTGTAGAGAGTCCACCAGTCATCCGAGGGTGCCGAAGGCTCCTCATCCGTGGCTGATCTCGCCGTGCATTCCGTCACGAAGTCCGCCAGGGCTTGGCCCTTGATAGCAGGCCTCGGACGGATGTCGATGTTGTATTGGCTGAGGAAGATAGCCCACTTTACCATCCGGGAGGAGCTGGTGGGGCTCCTCATCAAAGCGCCGAGGGGCTGGTGCGTGAGGACCTGGACCGGATGAGCTTGGAAATAGTGGCCCAACTTCTTGACAGTCCAGACAATAGCTAGCACCGTTTTTTTCACAGGGGAATACCGGAGTTCCGCTTCCCTGAGGGTCTTGCTAACATAGAAGATGGCATGCTGGACGCCACCTTCTTCCCGGATGAGTACTGAGCTGATGGCCGCCGGGCTAACACCAAGGTAAAGGTAAAGGGTTTCCCCTACCTTGGGTTTGGAGAGCACATGGGGTGAAGATAAATATCGTTTCAGCTCGTCGAAGGCCTCCTGGCACTCTGAGGTCCATTGGAAGCCGGCGATCTTCCTCATGATCTGAAAGAAGGGTAAGGACTTCTCCGCTGATTTGGATAGGAAGCGGTTGAGGGATGCCAGGCGGCCCGTCAACCGTTGGACCTCCTTCACGTTGCGTGGGGGCTCCATGTTTGTGATGGCCTGGATCTTCTCGGGGTTTGCCTCAATCCCCCTCTGGCTCACCATGTAGCCTAAAAACTTGCCTCCTTGCACGTCGAAGGTGCATTTCTTCGGGTTTAGCCGAAGGTTGAACTTTTGCATGATGGTGAAGATCTCCTGGAGGTCGTCAGCATGGCTCGATGATTGTTTGCTTTTTACGATCATGTCGTCAACATAGGCCTCCATGGTGCGCCCTAGGACAGCCTGAACGACTCTGGCCACCATCCGGGTGTAAGTGGCGCCTGAGTTCTTAAGGCCGAAGGCCATGACAAGGTAGCAGAAGATGCCCTCGGGAGTCATGAAACCTGTTTTTTTGGCGTCTTCCTCGTGCATGAAAATTTGGTGATACCTTCGGAAGGCATCGAGGAAGGACATGATCTCGCACCCCGCGGTCTCATCCACCAGTTGATCAATATTTGGCAGGGGGAAGGGGTCCATGGGGCACGCCTTGTTTAAATCAGTGTAGTCCACGCACATGCGGAAGGTGGGCTGCTTTTGTGTGAGGACTACGTTAGCCAGCCATGAGGGGTATTTGACCTCCTTGATGTGCTTGATGGAGAGGAGCATGGCGACCTCCTTTTTCACAAAATCCCTTCTCTCGGCCGAGAGGGGTCTTCTTCGCTGTTGTATAGGTTTGACCGAAGGGTCCACCGAGAGGCGGTGGGTGATGACCCTTCGGCTCATTCCGGCCATGTCCTCCGGCCCCCATGCAAAAACAATGGAGTAGGCGCGGAGGGCTTCAGTTATGCCGGTCTTCAGGTCTTCGGGGAGCTTGGCTCCAACCTTCACAACTCTCTCCGGCTTGGCCGGATCGAGTGCGAAGTCTTCTACTTCCTCGGCGGGCTCAGCCCTCA